GGGGGAATAATAAAATGGCAGCAGCTTTGACAGGAAGGAAGTACACATTTAGCCGTTTGCATCATTATTATCAGTGTTATTTTATTATAGCTGTGTGTCACATACTTATTTTGTTCTTCAATATTTTGCAAAAGAGTATAGAAATGATGATATAGAGGGATTTTTTGACACAGTCTACACTACTGGTCAAAGGTTTGGGGTTGTCTCTATATGCTCACCAAGGCTGCATTTGTTTGATCAAAAATACAGTATACTGTAATATTGTGAAATATTATTACAATTTAAAATAACTCTTTTCTATTTGAATATGTTTTAAAATGTAATTTATTCCTGTGATGCAAAGCTGAATTTTCTGCATCATTACTCCAGTCTTCAGTGTCACATGATCCTTCAGAATAATATGCTGATTTGCTGATTTCAAGAAACATTTCTTATTATTATCAATGTTGAAAACCATTATGCTGCTTAATATTTTTATGGAAACTGTGACACAAGGTTCTTTGATGAATAGAAAGTTAAAAAGAACAGCATTTATTTGAAATAGACATCTTCTGTAACATAAAAAATGTGTTTACTGTCACTTTTGATCAACTTAATGCATCCTTGCCGAATAACAGTAAAAAAATCTTACTGACCTCAAATTTTTTAGAAATCCAAGCACATGAATGGATCCGAGTGCAATCTCAGAATTCCTAAATTAAATCCCAATGGATAAAATCAAGTTCCATTTGGAAATCTCTCACATTCTGGAAGTTAAAAGTGTTGGTGTTTCTTGATGACATTAAGGGGAAAGTAAATCCTGCTATTAAATGAAGACAAGAACATCCCTGTGCTGGTTTCTCTGAAACACTATTACAACATCTGTAGGGAAATGCTCTTGAGATCTGAGAACAAAATCCATCATTGCACATTTCTCTGCTTTCTTAACCATACTTGCCATTTATTATTATTTCTCTTCTGTGCGTAACCTTTATCTATGGTTCAAAACCCTCTGCTGACCGGATCAGTTTTGGCAGATAGAGGAGGAATTGAGAACATTTCGGATGGTTAAAAAACTAGAGTGACTACAGCACTGTGTCTCTGTGTGACCAATAACATGAACGACAACAAACAGACCCAGAGGCTTAAAAAAATCTGGACGAAGACCTATCACGACAAAACAAAATTCAAAACTCCTACGAGACCCGTAAACACTTGATCCGGTCACACCGATCTGATGGTGTGTTATGTCATCTTTCATTTGTCTAAAAGATTCTGCTCAAGTTTACTTGGCAAAAAAAGTCACAGCTAGATTCCCATGAAGCAATAACATGACGCTTTTGGGAAATGAAAGATGAACAAGACCCAGTTTTGAAACATTGCTTTCTAAGTCAGGTCTTTTTCTGAAGAAACCTTCTTTCATCCCGGTGTCCCACACTGTCCCAGTACTTGTTTAGATGCGTTTTGTTTTGTTCTCTCCTCTCTGTCAGTTTTTAGGCATTATTGGAGCTGATCTCTCCCAGCAGCCAGTACGTTCTCATCCGTCCCTTTCCCTTCATCTCCACATCTCCCCTGAGCTCCAGCTGGAAGCAGTTGAATTCCTGCAGGACGGCCCGTGTGGCCTCTGAAACATGGATCTTCAGGGCTGATGGGGGAGAAAAATCAGTGTAAATAATCTCACACACACACACACACACAACCACACACACACACACTCTTTTCTTCATTCATTTCTTTCCCTCACTGTCATTTTAGTTTAGATGACATATAATCAACCTTAAATACCGTGACTAAGGTTCATACTCATACTCAGTTTTACTCAAAGTTCACTCAAGTGATTTACAGACGCCAGACTAGTTTAAATGAATCATCAAAAAGTTGCAGCTTATACACACAAAGAGGTCAGCCAATCATAACAGAGATCATTTACATATACAAGGCTTAAAGATGTAGTAAATGGATCAATTCCATATGTCAGAAAGAGGGTGCAAAATTATCATTTTTAGCTACACCACTGTTCAAAACTACCATTTGGTAAATGCCACAGAAGTGTGGGACACAATCGTTTCAAAAGTCTGGAGGCGCCTCACCTTCTCCATTGGATTCCATGCGTGAAGCTGTGTTGACAGTATCGCCAAACAAACAATACCGAGGCATTTTCAAACCAACCACCCCTGCACACACGGGGCCTGGACACATGAAAACACCCACCCACACACACATAACCATCAGTCAAAGCTCCCCATTAGTCAGCCATCAACACACAGTTATGTCCTCAGAGAGGCCAGACTGCTCTGTGCTGTACTTCTACTCTATTAGACACTTTCCTGACCCCTGATCCTCACCGCTGTGGATGCCGATGCGTAGGCGGAGCTGCTGGTCAGGTCGGTGGCGGATTCTAAATGAGTGAACGGCCTCCAGCAGAGCCAGAGACATGCGGGCGATCTCGCGTGCGTGCAGTTTCCCGTTCCTCACAGGAAGGCCCGACACCACCATGTAGGCGTCACCGATGGTCTCCACCTGGGGGCGCCACACAAAAACACATCGTTCGGCTCAGTGGTGGGCAGAGACTGTGAGAAACATCTCAGTCACTTAAAAGGATAGTTCTTAGTTTCTTTCTTCTGTTGAACACAAAAGAAGATATTTTGAAGAGTGTGTGTAACTGAACAGTTGACGGTAGCCATTGACTTCCATAGTACAGAAAAAAATACAATGGAAGTCAATGGCTGCCGGAACCTATTTTTTTCTTCAAAATATCTTCTTTTGTGTTCAACAGAAGAGAGAAATTCATACAAGTTGGGAAAGACATGAGGGTGAGCAAATGATGACAAATTTTCATTTTGGGTGAACTATCCCTTTAAGCTAATCGAGCACGTGTGTCGTTGAACAGGCAGTGAACGTAATGACTATTTGGAATTACCTTGTACACGTCAAAATTGTCGATGATTGCATCAAAGCAAGTGTAGAGATCATTCAGCAGCGTCACCACCTGTGGCGGGTGCAAATAGACAAATAGATCAGCTATAATTCAATACTGCACTCACGATTGTCACAGTAAAAAAACAAAATTAGCCTATAATTATTTGTGTGCGACTGTTTGAGGAGCGTTTACTGAATTACCCCTTTACAGAGGGATTCTGACCTGCATCGGTGTGCTTTCGGCTGATAATGCGGTGAAGCCCACAATGTCACTGAAGTAGATGGTGACCGAGTCAAAGGCTTCTGCCTGCACCATCTCACCTCGCTTCAGCTGCTCAGCCACTGAGCTGAAACAAAAAACACACACACACACACACACAATCAGATACAGCCTCAAAAAAAAAAAAGTCAGAATTGCGAGATGTAAATTGATTTGAAAACGTGCCTTCCATACTTTACTTTCACTTTTGAATTAAATGATGAATAAAAGTATTAACTGCCTTAAAAATCTTATTGACCCCAGACTTTTGAATGGTAGCACATAGTCATATGGTTTACAAATGCTTTGGAAATTGGTTTGAACAAACTAGGACTCACTGTGGGAGGATCTGATAGAGCAGAGCTTCAGCTTTACGCTTCTCCTCATGGTACGCCTGTGTCCTCTCCTCCACCAGCTCCTCCAGGTTATTGGCATACTGCTCCATACGGGACAGGAGGTTATCCAGGATGTTGGAACCATATCCCCTGAGGAGATGAGGCAGAGACAAGAGTTGTGAATGTGTGTCTGAACACTGCAGCACGGGCAGTGGAGGCACAAAAACATCAACTGAACACCCATAATACACAAGGTTTATTATGTAAACAATGATTATTAAAATATGAACTAAGAAAATTATTATTCAAATTTTAGTTGACTGGATTTACTACAGATAAGATCATAGTACTCCTAGCTCCATCTAAGACTTTATACCATGCTTACATACTATCCCACAGAATTGCAATTTGGAGAACAAATCAGTGCATAAAATTTGAAAAAGACTCACTGTATTTCATGTCATGCTTTAAAAGGGTTACAAACTCTTTTCAAGTTATATTAATGCTAAAGCGTATTGTGTCATGTTCATAAAGTGAATTTACACACAAAAGACAGGCACATTGTTTTAATTTGGCCAACATTTCTTTCATTATTCCTGGATGAGACTCCCGGCCAGGCTGAAATTTTGTCCCAGACCGGCATTAAATTAATATTTGTAAATATTTGTGGCTTGAAACAGCTGAAAAATTGAAAGTGTACTGCTGCTCTATGGATGTTTTGCCATTCGGGTAGGATTATTAAAATTAATTAAAACTATTAAAAACATTTCTCTTATAAAGCGGAATTAAAATAACATAAATATAAGCAATTATATGAACTGAGAAAAACGGAATAAGATCACATATATAAAATAAATAAATAGTCCTATTCGCAAAATATATTTGACTTAAATAATTCACAGAAACGAAAGAAAAACTGCGACAAGTTCTATATGCCGAGTTTCTGTTCACGGAAAGTTCACGGAAAGGAAATCAATAGCCTATATGGCAGAAAACGACATCTGTTTGTTTTCTTTACTTTGTAAAGCACAGTGTTTTGTTGTTATTGTGACTGTACACAAATAAAAGTAGACCCTTTATAGTTTCATATGATGTCTCACTCTTATCTTTGTTTCTGCTGTGATAAGGGACAAATTCAAGTGATCGCGGAGGCGCACACCTCGCTCACCCGCACACACACAACATATTAGGCTAGTTACTAGCCTATCGCAGCTTGTTCATTACAAGCGGCAACCTTCCGGTCTCTCTCGTGAAACCAATACGGGTGACTAAAACTGCAATTCATCGACTGGCCGCTAGAGGCTGGCTCCAAAAGGGAGTCAGTCCCATAGACTCTCCATGTTAAAATGCCCAACTTTACAGCAGAAAAAAATATGTTTACAGCCTGGTACAAAAAGTGATTTTGGTCTATATAGCTAATTTTGCCCTTCATGACAACTGTGAGGGGGGTGAATTTTTTTTATAACTCATCCGTTTAAATTATATTAAGCCTTAAAGTTCTGCATAATTAAGGGCGTGGCCACTTGAGTGACAGGTGGATTGCCGCTGTTGTCACCACCGTCGAGCTAGGTGGGCGTGGTTTCAGCAACCAGCTCCTGCCTCTTTGCCCATTTTCGATTATCCGGGAGTGACGCGCGGTGACGCGCTGCCAAGATGGCAACGGCCGGCTCCGCCTACTTTAGGCTTCAAAAACGCTCTTCATAAACCTACAGGTGACGTCACTGATACTACGTCCATGTTTTTATACAGTCTATGGTTCATTAACAAAATAAAATAAGCCAGCCAAACTTAGGCTACACTACTCAATTTAAACAGACCGAAGTACAATCCATTGCGTTCACCCACCAAACATTGCACATGTGAAGGATGATTTATGGGCAGTGAAGTTCAAATCATAATAAATAATAGTTTAGCATTCAAATACATCATGAATATGGAAACATTTTTGAGTGGATTCGTACCAAGTATGAGAGGTAGGCTATGTGAGCCCAACGACCGTTTCAGTTTCAGCAGCAGTGAATTCATTTTGAGTTGATGTTTAACTAGGCTACTTGTACTATTTTTCATTAGTTTTCTGAATACCGTTAAATTGAAAGGATTTGTTATGGAGAGAGAAGAACTAGCCTAAAATAGCTTTTAGTAGGCCTAATGTTTATCTGTATTAATAATGTAAGTAAATATTTACATTTATTTACCGGCATTTTACATTAGGCTATTCATGAATGTAATAATAAAATGCGACTCGGCCTTTACGCGGCTTAGACTACCTTTTTTTTTTTTTGTCCCTCAAAAACGCAATTTTATAAAAGGTATTTTTAACCATGTAGCAAACGTAAAATTTACTTTAAAAAACTAGTGAACCTTTGTATGTGTGTCTGTTATTAACATATATTACATATGCATATAAATTTCAGGTAACACTTTGGGCCCTATTTTAACGATTTAAGTGCATAGTCTAAAGTGCAAGGCGCAGGTGCACTTAGGGCATGTCCGAATCCACTTTTGCTAGTTTAATGATGGGAAAAACGGTCGGTGCGCCCAGCACATGGTCTAAAAGGGTTGTCCCTATTCTCTTAATGAGTAATGGGTGTGCTTTGGGCATAACATGCAAAAAACCAATCAGAGTCTCATCTCCCATTCCCTTTAAGAGTTGCGCTCACGCCATGGCGGATTAGCTATTTATACGGCGGAATTTGCAAGAGCAAAGACTGAACAGAGAGGAAACGGAGCTGCATTGTAATCCTTTCATTTTTGAATTAATATTTGGCATGTTTGCGTGCTGCTGCGCGTCCCTGTGTGTGTAATAAGCAGAGTGTATGCCCACCTATAGGCGCATAATACTAACGCGCTCTTTAAATAAAAAAAATGTAATTTGTCATTTGAGCTCTTGTGTGTGAGCTGATTTGTGAATCAGGTACCGGTTATTCTTGCGAAGCAGTACTTTAATCTGGTTGAAGTCGGGCCTCTCGTTGACGTCTTCTGACCAGCAGCGCTGCATCAGCTGTCCCAACTCATCGCTGTGGCTCTGAGGACACAGCAGCGGACGCAGGTACGGCCAGCGGCCCTCCGCCACACGCTCTATGATCTCTGAACCACAAAACAAGAGACAGTAATGATAAGAAAAATTTACAAACATGCAATTAAACATTCTCCAGACAGTGAGTTACACAACTCTCTATCACACAGAAAATAACATACACAAATTAGCACATAGAATTAGCATAGCAAATTTCACAGAAAAACAGTGATTGCGATCAGACTCCCCACTGGTGCGAGGGATAGAAAGACAGCAAATGTGTGAGGAAAAAAAAAGAGATGAAAGTGTCATTCACAGGTTTTGAGAAGACCTTGGACTTAACAAATGTCTTCACAGCAATCAACAGGAGTGATGATGATACAAAGCTGTCATGACCTTTCTGTCCCACTCCACACCTCACTGCACTCAGGAAAAAATAAAAAAATACATTCCCAATATCTTCATCCCTCAGTCTTTTAGCTGGCTCTAAAATACGACTGGATGAGCTACATACAAAGCTGTTTTAAAGTAGCTGATATATACACTTTAAAGAAGGCCACACATTTTGATGTGTAACTGTGTAACTGTAAGGCCACATATTTTGATGTGTTGACATACTAAAGTACATAAAGTACTTGATTGTAATTGTAACTGTATTTTGTTATTTGATATTACATTTAAAGAGATATTTCAAAAAAAAAAAAAGAAATGTCTGTCATTAATTACTCACCCTCATGTCGTTCCAAACCTGTAAGACCTTCGTTCATCTTCAGAAGACAAATTTTTGATTAACAAAAAGTGCACCAAAATATTCTCGTAGCTTCATAACATTACGGTTGAACCCCTGATGTCACATGGACTATTATAACGATATCCTTACCACCTTTCTGGGCCTTGAACGTGTCGATTGCATTGCTGTCTATGCAGGGTCAGAAAGCTCTTAGATTTCATCAGAAATATCTTAATTTGTGTTCTGAAGATGAACGAAGGTCTTACAGGTTTGGAACGACACGAGGGTGAGTAATTAATGACAGATTTTTCATTTTTGGGTGAACTACCCCTTTAAAGTTTATATATTTTAAATGTACTAAATTGCTACTTTATCATTGCAAATGTGTAATTACTAATATATGTAAATATTGTATCATATTATGTAATCATATTTCAAAGACAATATATAAGTCATTATGAAACTACACAAAAAAGATGTATTTAAGTCTTACTTAAGTGAGCCAACTGTAAAGTTCACCTATGTTTTTTAATATTAAAATGTACATTTTCATTTAATTCCATTTAACATGGAGTTAAGCATTTAAAAACATTTTATTCAGTTAACACTTAAAGGCAGGGTAGGTGATTTGATTCAAAGACATTTTTTGTTATGCTGGTTGAAAGTTTTCACATCCCGATAGCAATCACTAAGTTAAGTGGTCTAAATATATTTATATGTATTCATATAATCTGTAGAAGGCGTAGGACTGTAAAATGTTTGTCCAGTCAGCGTATGTATTCGCATACCTCTGTGCACCCTTTTTGCACAGACATGATACGTCCTCAACACGGTCCATTACGCTATACCGCAGACCGGGCGAGAATGGAATTATTATTGTATTATTAAGCGCTTTGTACTGTAATGTTTTCTCACCGGTGAATGAGACATGAGGTAATCTGACAGCGTTGACACCATCTCTCATCGTGTCGCTGGTTAGCCTCTGGTCTGCTTGTGCACGCTCGTGTGTTTTGGAGGAGGCGTGGCTTTGGAGAGTGATTTGCATGTAGGGTGGGATCTTATGCTTTCAAAGCTATCTCTGAAATCGCCTACCCTACCTTTAAATATATTCTAAGTATTTTTGTAGTAAGTACTACTTTTTAAAGGTATGCTTAAGTGTACTCTTTTTTTACTTAAGCATACTTCCGTTGCTCTGACAGTTAATGGCATTCTCTCATTGCTGTCTTTGACTCCCTTTGTTCTGGTGGTGAGCTGGCTCTGCTCCAGACACGTCACTCATGTTTTGTTGTCTCTCTTTAATGCAGCCGCTGGTATGTGTGTGGTGATCCGTTTATTAGGACGGGTGACATTCACTGAGTGTGTGTTTGTATCCATGACTCTGTACATAAGCAATACTGACACCGATAGAATGTAAATAAGACTCAGAACATACCGTAACAAAACAAAGACTTCCCCACCCAAAGCACACAAAATAAAGAAAGCAACAGAGACAGTTACTGTGTCACTGCTGAAAGTGACCAGGACACTTTGCACAAACAAAGAATACTTCTAAAGGTTTATATGCAGCATAGCTTATAACCGGTATCTTTATTGCAAGTATTTGTGTATATATTGGCCACTTAAAAATGCCTGAATGTCATTGCAGTACATATCATTAAACCAATTGTCATTTGTACAAATGCTACTTGAACTTTTCTTAGAACTAACTTCACTTGTCTGAGAGATTTTTACTTTTACTTTTTAAGGAATAGTTCATCTAAAAAATGCACTCACCCTCAGGCCACCCAAGATCTAGAAGAGTTTGTTTTGGAGAAAGATTTGGAGAAATTCAGCATTTCACTGCAGAGGAACCATTGGTCAGCAAGTGATGAAATTCTAAATTTCTCCAAATCTGTTCCCATGAAGAAACTAATTCATCTACATCTTGGATGGACCTGAGGGTGAGTACATTTTCAGTTTTGGGTGAACTATTCCTTTAATAGGCTGGTGTTTTATTTAAAACCTAAGACATTTTTTTTATGTGAAATCTTTAGCTTTTGAAGTATGATATCTTTAAAATAAATGTCACTTGGTTTAATATTTTGTTATCTAACGCAATGGAATCTTAAGTGTGCAAAGATGATTTAGGCCACTGTTACTAATGCTTTGACAAATGAAACTGTTTTGATTGTGCTCACAAAGTGAGTAAGCAAGAGAGAGGTGAGGTGAATGTAATCACAGGTGACACGGAAAGGAAAAATGCAAAAAGCAACCCGTGCTATCAGTGTAATTCACTGCATAATCTGTATCTGATTAACACATTTTATTTAATGTTGTTTTGATTCACATCAAAGCGCTAAACGAGAAAACACTCTCACCTGCATAATGAGTTAACCATTCTCATGGTTATTCATATTCACCAAAAAACTTCTCTTGAAAGCGTGTAATAAAATTACTGTCTATTTTACGGTTCTCTAGGGATCAAGCAGCAAGCGACGCTTTTCAGAGACTGTTGCTAAAAGGTAATGTTCACCCAAATACGACAATTTCTCTTGTGTGCTTCTATTGCAATTTGCTATTAAACAAGCGAGAAACAATGTGTGACGAGAGGGGCGGGGCCGAGAGCCGTGGGAACGGAGCGAGGCCGGTGGAGGAAATGCTAATGCGCAACACCTGCGCCACTCACCGGTCTCGAGTCCCACGGAGGAGCTCCGGAAGGATAAAAGGAGGAGTGACGACAGTGTTGGACGAGAGAGGACCAGGCCTGGACTTTATTTTGTGTTTTGTGTGCGGCAGTCGTCCGCGAGGGGCTTCCGCTTTACTTTCATTTTGTGTTTGTTTGATTATTAAAGTATTTAAATGTTCGCCGGTTCCCGCCTCCTTCTTCCCGTGACTACAAACGTTTGTTACACAATGAAATCAGTCACATGCACTAAGTGATATATAAGACTGTCCACAATACACTCAGAAAAACAAAACAAAAAAAAAAAAGACACAAAAGCTAAAACTTATATTTTTGTACCTTATTTACCACAAATGATACATATTAATTCCTTAAAGGTACACATTAGTACCTAAAAGGTACATATTAGTACTTCTTAAAAAAAGGTACCTGTTTTTTTCCCGAGAGTGTTGAAAAAAAAAACCTTTAAAATATAGAACTGTAATCTTCATGCTGATTTCAGTGTTGTTACTGTTAACTAAAATAAAAACTGAAAATATTAATAAAAAATAAAAAATATTTTTAAAACAAAATGAAAATTAGTTTAATTGATATTGGTAATTTAATTGTATTGATAATTGAAATAAAGCTGAAATCAAATATAATTATCAGATAAAACATTTAAACTTGAACAAAAATGAGAAATGTTGCATTGGCAGCCAAGTGAAATAAATATGTTTAGGTTGAAGTATTAAAATGACAAACTAAAACTGAAATAAAAATAAAATAAAGTTATATAGAAATATAAAAATAAAAAAATTAAATATAACAAAATTAATAAAAATAAAATTAAAACTAAAATTATAATACTAAAAGCTAATTAAAAATATGAATAAATAATATAATAATATATAAATATTATTAAAACAACACTGGTTGGTTTCATATAAGATCCAATTGATTTTTCTCTGTATTTATTTATTTATTTATTTTTATTATTTTTATTTATATATTAATTCATTAATATTATTAAACTTTTGGGCAGTTGCAGCACATGACATGAGGCTTTTCTGCAACATAATATCAGGACATATTGTTGCTATTTTTATGACATAATGGCTTCCAAAAAAAATCAAAATAAATTTTCATTCAGAAATTAAAAACAGGTTCATCACTAAAGAGGTGTATTAATGTCATTGTATGTATGAATTAAATTTTTAATGGATAAAAAAAAAAAAAAAAAGAATAGATCTAGTCAAAAAATAACCTTGATTACACCTTCAGAGCATTGTGTTTGACCTCTGACCTTTAGGGCTGAGACAAGGGCCTTCCAGGTAGAAGACGCCCTTCAGCAGGGCGAGTTCCTGCAGGATGATGCCAAAGCTGTAGACGTCACCCTTCTGTGTCCCACATGCAGGTGGGTTGTCGGCAAGCAGAAGCTCTGGGGCTGTCCACAGCTTGCCTGCGAACGCAAACATGGATATTACATCTTCACACGCACGCAATCTGTATCTACGTGTTGCCACGGTACTCACGTGCATAGAGAGTGTGCACATCCTCCAGGTTGTTCTCCTTGCGGAAACTTTCCAGGCCGTAATCGGTGATCTTCAGCACGAAGCGACTGTCCACCACGCAGTTGGAAGACTTCAGGTTGCCGTGGGAGACAATGACGCTGTTGTGGAGGAACGCCATTCCCTGAGTGGTGAAAAGATGACAGTCTTACAAAGACATCTGACAGCATCCATCGTATTTACCAACACCACACCATGAAAATATTAATTACAGACTCTTTTGCAACTGCAATATGCTTTCTGGAGTCATAATTTGCTCGTCAGGGAACTGACATCCTCATGGACCATTTCAAATTACACACGTCTCAAAACCACCCCTATGTATTGTCTCACAGGAGCGAGCCTCGATTTAACAGAGAACTATATTTTAAAAAATGCAAAGCAGTTTGATGTGAAAGATTTATGTTTTAGTGTTCTTTGACAAGCATCATTGTCACCTTCTCCTTGTAATACCTATGTCATACCTTTGTCATTATACAAATTTATGTCCTCATTTGTCACAAAAACGCGCGCACACACACACACACACACACACACACACACACACACACACACTATGTGGCTCATAAGGAGAGTTTGTGTGGAAACAAGACTTGATGGATATTAATTATATTCCCTCACATCATCCTGTCAGTTATGTGTTATTATATTTTCACATTTTATATCTAAAGTGTGTAATTTTCTTGTTAAAATACTTTATCCCAGTTTGAATGTGCAGAGACAACTCTAAGCAAGCCATTTGTAGACTGACTTTGAAGAGTGTAAACACTGTGGTGCTTTCAAAACATTGCTGTTTGTTGGAGCAATCTGACATAGCAACACTGGCTCAACCAACAGCATTACTTTGGGGGCGGGGCTACCCATTTTTGGCGCAAAGTCTCCTAGTGGCACATTAAAGTCCTCCTACGAGGTTCGTATTTATGAGTTGGGAAGTCGAAATTACGACATCAGGTGCATTCAAATCACTTTGGTTGGAGTAAGGTGGTGATGTTCCTTTTCTACATAAAATCCAACATAATTTTTTTTTAAACTTTACATCTATAGAATGATGAATAAACCCTAGCCCTAACCCTAGTTTTTATTAGATTTATGAGGGTGCTGTAAATTGATTTGGAATTGTATGATACTATGGTATTTTCAACATGCACCTTAAATATTTTTATTGAAAAAAAAAAATATATATATCATTAATTTGAACAAATTTACTATTAATAGAAAGGCTGCATCCATTGCACTGCGACACCCCCAACTCTCATAGTTACTAATGTTTATGTTACTAGATCTTTTCGAAATGATTTGAATGCACCGTAAGGCAGTCACTTAAAGTGACTGATTCTGTTACGTTCCACATAGGCAGCATCATCATGTGCCACTCACATGAAGCGCACAAGAGATTCAACCAAAAACTATAGATATACAAAGAGAGTTCCTTCCTGTTACTTACGAATGGGAGAAACTGCAATGCGCAATATGGCCGAGTAGTCCTGCCTTCTGAATGAAAGAGTCAATCGCTTATTGGTAAAGTCATTGCGTCACTGCAGGTGCCGTTAGAAGCAACAAGAAGGAACAACAATTTTGGGGCAGTTAATTTAAGATTTTGTTGCTGATTTGAAATATGTCATTTAATTGTGAGCTCAGCAGGCAGTTTTTTAGATTTCAGGATTCCCCCATTCATTTAGATAGGGCTTGGGCTTGGATGCCCGGAATAGCTGCCCGGAGATGTTGCAAATATGTCCGTCAGCTTTCCTTGAAAGGGACTTTGATTCAACTCACAGCTGATTCCATTAGAGTTTGACATTAGCATGTTGCTAAGCTAACAATATATATTCTAATAAAGCACAAAATACATAGCACAGACAAATATTAGCTAAAACAGAAGATTTAAATTATATTAAACAGTTTTTAATCTACTTAAAAAAAAAATGATTTAAATAAATGTTTATTTTTTTTTCACTAAGCTAGTGAGGTTTTTGCTTAACTAAATCTATTCAAATTTGTTTTCGGTAATTGAAATGAAGCTGAAATAGAAAAATAAACATTAGGTGAAAAAATAGAAAATTAAAAATATTGCCTTGGCAACTAACTCATATAAATAATCTGAAGTTGAACAAGTTACTAAAACTAAAATTGAAATAAAAATAAATGAAAACTTAATAGAAATGTAAAAAAGAAAAAAAAAAGAAAAAAATAGATTAAAATTTATAAATAAATTAAAATAAATTGAAAAAAATTAACTGATAAATATGAACTGAAAAACTGAAAATATAAAATGATTAGCTAATCGAAAATATTGTGTTTGTCCTATCTGTCAAAGATACATGCAGTGTAGCCATAGAAGAAGATATCTTAGAAGGCAGCATAGTTATTCATGTCAGAAATATGTCTAAAAATGTTGTCTAATTAGACGGTAGAAGCTGCAAGTAGTGATGATTATTTTTGTGTTTGTGAACATTTATGTGTCTATACATTTAAAAAAGACAAAAAAAATGTTTAATGAATTATTTAACACTTAAATGTATTATGTATTTATTTATGTACTGTATGTATTTATTTGTTTGTTTATTTATGCATGCAGTAAAAAAGGTTGGCAAGGCAAGCCAAAATTTGAATCCTTATTATTGAGCCCTGCTTGGTGAAACAAAAAGTGTTGCATAAACACGAGTCGTCTATTAATACATCAACTGTAGGTGCAGTAACTGTGAGCAGTGGGGTGCGTGAGTGTTCACCTGTAAGCTTCCTCGAGGGCAGTACTCAGTAAGGATGCAGATGTTGGGTGGGTCGATACAAGAGCCGATAAAGCGCGTCAAGTGTTCATTCTGTACATCACGCATCTATTATAGGAGGAGAAAGGAACAGAAGGGAAAAGAGGAGGGAGAACAGCATGACGAGGAGAGGACAAAGAGAGAGAGAGAGCTGTTTAGTCCCTCTTTTCCATCAGTCCCCGGCTATTAATATCTCCCAGGACATCATATAAACTTAATTAAGGCACCTGGCAAAAAGCACAAAACGGCATGGATGCACACTTACATGTTTGAGTTCAAACAGCACTTTCCTGGTGAGCTCGATGCGTTTCTTGTTGACATACTTAATGGCTGTTATGTTTCCCTGGAAAAGAGGCATCAACGCACATTAGTTTCACCCCGATTACTATCGTGGACTTGGCAAAGAGCTGGAGGGTTTTGGGAACGGGGTACCATCATTTAAGAGAAGAAAAAGAGCAACATAACGCGTTAATTAAGCACCATCCTAATTAATGGGGGAAATGATGATATGTGGACATGAATAGCGCTCATCCTCAGGGGTTCTGCTTAATTGGAGAGGAACTATAGCTCATCCATTGAAGAACGGGCCCATTAGCCAGGGCACGCCGACGGCATCATAGGAGATCCAAAGATGAACCCTTCCATCATTTGACACTTCTGTTGCTAGGCAGAATTTGTTATTTATTTATGTTCAAAACAGCACACAGCCTGGAACAGAATCACACAACTCACAGCAATAGAATGAAAAGGTAAAACAAAACAGAACTGGAAGTGGGTGGGGCTTAGTAGACCAGATTTTCCGTGCGTTCCATTCGGAAGGGCTCATCCCTATGCCCTAATCCCTTCATGAAGTGAAGTGAAGTGACATGTGGCCAAAGGGTTTACCCTCCGGAGTGAGAGCTTCGAAGAGGCGCTGTCATCATGCAAAGAATCTGCGCAAAGGATCATGGGAGCCCGAAGTGTCCATTAGTTGTACCCTTCGAAATCCTTCATTCCGAAGGGCACTTTGAAGTGGCCAGTTTTGAGCACTTTGGTTTGGAACGACCCTTCAATATGTCGGCCATGATTGTTTTCACTTCCGAAGTGCCCTTCGGTGGGCGATATATTCCGTTTGGAACGCACCGCTAGTCTCTAATTAGGGTGGTCATATGTGCCATTTTTACGGGACACGTCCTGGCCAGGATTTTTATATTGCCAAAAACATAGTAGTTTGGCCAATAACATGCAGGAATTGTACATAACCGACCAATTGTGGCACGTGAGAAGGTAGGAACTACAGAGAACGATCAAAGCGATGCAAATACGCGCAAGTTAGGTGTGTTTGTTCGTTCGTTCGACTTGAAGCGGCGCTGTGCAGACCGATCATTGTGTGACACCAAAGTACCGTGAGAGCGATTCGAAAGCATAAGGAACCGCCTGCTCTGCTCTCTATAGCTCTTGCGAATGTCATACAACGATCGTCTGCATGGTGCAAACTGCCAAAACTGGATATTTTAGGCAATATAGAAATCCTGGCAAAGACGTGTCCCGTAAAATGGCCTGTATGGTCACCCTATCTCTAATTGGTCACAATGAATGTGTCTAAATAAAAAACGTACTATTTTGACTATTTTTAGTTCAACCCTTGTGAAAAAGAAGTACAATTATAGTTTCTATTTATATCAAAAGGAATTAGTTAAACTTTAGAGTGATTTTTGACCCAGTTAAGCAGAACTTAAGTACATCTTTATATGTAATTTCATAATTACTTCTATTGTCTTTGAAATATGGTTAAAGTGCATTGCTGAATTCAGTGACAAACATTAATGGTAAACATGATTAAAAATTGTATGCCATATTTAAATATATTTGTAGTGATGAAGTTGCAATTAGGGTCAAATTTTACATATATATTACATATAGGGTCAGATTTACTAACAGCTTGCGCCAGCGCAAACCGTCTTTTGGCGTTAAAATAGTACTGTCAGGATTTACTAAAGAAGCGCAGTCTTTAGAATTAGCGCTGAAAAGGTGTGGACACCGTTATTTTTGCGTCTGACCTTATTGAATATGCATTTGTAGGAGTTTCTCTTTCAGACGCAAAATTTACGGGAGGAGAGTATTAAAATGAATCACGCAATGCGTTTTACTAACGTTTGCGCTCGTCAAATTACTGGTATTTGCACCATTATTTAACGGCCAAAAAAGCATGTCTTAAAGCAGGCGGTAATTTGCGCTGCTCTTGGTAGACTGCGCTGGTCATTATGGAAATGATCTGGCTGCATCTGTTTTCTTTAATGTGCGCATTGTCAGTAAATCACACACAGAATTTTCCCCTCCCATCGGCGCTTTTATGGAATGGCACTCTAACGCTAATTTGCCCAGTTTAGTAAATCTGGCCCTTAAAATATGTTATACCACTTATACGTTATACTACATTTTGAGCTAAAAATGACATTACTTAAACTGTCATAAATCGTCTCAGGTTACGTATGTAACCCTAGTTCCTCGATGGAACGAGACGCTGCGTCGGAAACGCTAGGGGAACGCCTTCAGCGTGACGGGCTCTGAACCTCATGTGTAATCAGACCAATAGATGGGTGAGACGTCACGGGCGGGTGACGTAATGACCAGGAGCTATGAAAGCACGTGCGTTGAGACCAGCGTCAGCTTCTAGGAATGAAGCAAGCGCTCAATGCGGGCAGTCAGCGCTCTCAAGAGCTGACTCAGCATGCTCCGCTCCCAGGCAGACAACGCACAAACTGTGTGTATCCGCACCCGTAATGAAACGCGGGCAGGGAGGAACACACAGTTTGAAACGCTGGCTGCCTTCGCCCCTACTCAAATGGTGTGTTTTATCATGTGCTTTAGACATATTTCTTTTCTTTTCTTTTTCTTTCCCTACGGGACAGACAACACCAAATAGGACACACAAACGGATATCAGACTGACACACACACAGAGCGCTTGCTGAATGACAAAAAGCTGATGCTGGTCTCACCGCACGTGCTTTTATAGCTCCTGGTCATTACGTCCCCCCGCCGTGACGTCTCGCCCATCTATTGGTCTGATTACACACGAGATTCAGAGCCCGTCACGCTGAAGGGCGTTCCCCTAGCGATTTCGACGCAGCTCGAGTTCCTGAAGAGGAACTTGAATGCGCTGGAGCAGACTGGTTTCTTTAAAAAAAAAAAAACACCTGGCAGATTATTACTGTCCAAGTGAACAATGTAAAAAAAAGAAAAAAAGAAAAAAAGAAACTAAAATAAAGTTATATAAGTGTAAGTTTATTATTATAAAAAAATGCAAAAAAACACTATTTTTAAATTTTAAATGAAATAGATATTTTCCAAACCATGTTTTACTCTAAACCTGCGTGAAAATCAAAGCAAGTTGTGTTCCAAATTTGAGGTTGATATCTTAAAAATGAGCTCTCAGTAAGCTTTTGATTGAGCGCAGTACCAGATGTTTCCACTTGATTAAACTATATATTTTGTGTGTGTGTGTGTGTGTGTTCACATTGCAATTTTCATACCATTCAGACGAAGTAAAAAAAATAACATGCTTCCTTTTAACAAGGCTAATAAAGTGGCAACTACAATTTTACTTAAAAATGTCTCCAACAAAAGACAAAACATCTTGAAATTTGAATGTGATCCAGTGGAGGGGTTGTCATACGCCCCCTTAAGGTAGGAAATATAAGAAACAGTTATTAGCCAACAAGATTTGCAAGCCAGTGGCCCATCCACACCTCACCACCAAACCTTTAATACCTTGTAATAGCCGGTCTTGGCATAGATCTGGAAGTTTCCCTCCATAGTCAGCAGTGAGCCGTAGTTAGAGCCTCTCTGTGTGTGGAGAGATGAATAAGACATGAGCAGCTTTACTCAAACTATAGGAAACTATTGGAAATGACAGGGTGTGTATGTGTGTGTGTTTCCCCTCACCAATGACATGGTGAGTTTGCTGCAGGCTCTGCGCAGCACCTTCTCCATGTTACTCATCTGGATGTCCTCCCAGTGCACACGCCACAGCTGTGCGGTCAACTCATTCTCCAGCTTCAGCTTCCTGACGCCGCCGAGTGACGGACAGGGACGAGACAGAGAGAGAAAGAAAGAAGAGTAAAAATAAGCAGAGGAAAGGGACAATGAGAGATGGGATGCAACTGGGAAAAACCTCAGATGAAAAATTGTAATAAATGAGAAGGAGAACAACATTTATTTGGCATAGATGTTAAATAATACAAATCAATATGTGCATCACTGTCAGCACCGGCATAGAGTGTATTGAATTTAGGTAACAATATGATGCTCAATAATCAATACCGGTAAAACAGCTTTCAAGTGGCACATGTACAGATAAAATGTCCTTCAGAGGAAAATAACTTAAAATTCAGTTTTATTATTAGAATTTGCATGAAATAAACAAACTTTTCCATTGACAGACTCTCTCTTCTTTGTCAATAGTGTTACATGTTGATACAAATAATACTAAATGTCCCTTCAAAAAATATTTTTCATGAATTTGTCTTAAAATAATAGTATTTGTGTTTAAACCATTTCAATTTGACAGAATGTGACAATAAATCCTTTTTTTTTAAACAAATAATTTTACATGTAAAATGAAATAAACCAAATCCGTATGCACAGGAAAGAAACTTCTTCTATTTCATAGACTCTTTAATTATAAGACACTTTATTAAAACATATATAATTTTCTATATAGGAAATGTGTACATTGCAGTTTTGCCATTTGAAAGTGAGCAACAGCATCTGCCAAAGCAATTGTAGAATGACCCACTGGAGAATCTGGTATTTATCAAAAAAAGGCAGATGAAATCACAGAAACAGAAGATCATCAATGCACAACATATGACAGTCTAAAGCAGGGCTCTCCAGTCCAGCCTGATCTCACAGGAAAAAATAACTATTTTACAAGATGACGATTACGCATGATTACCATTATGACACGATACGATTACATATGATCACGCATGAAGACCAGCCATAACATACAATTGAGATTTGTGTACAAATACCACTTAGCCACAAATTCGCCAAAATGTAAAACAGTTACAAATTGCTATTAGACCGCAATTCAACCTTAATGTGAGTGAGAGCTATTTGAAAGGATGAATTAATCTACTTGATTGATATACCATCTGTGTCTTTGGATTACACTTCAGGATGACAACAACACACTGTTGCTGTTTTCACTGTCAGTCACTACCATATGTCCTAGGAATCATAATGAAATCTCTTGATATCCTGCGTCAATGAATATCATTCACTTTCTGTTGGTCACTTCGACAAGCAAAATTTGCATAGCTGGCCACGGCCCGGATATTCGGGTATAAATCGTTCATAACACACTCATAACTTCAGTCATTTGTGGCGCTTTGTATAGGGACCCCTAGTGTTGGAAATTTGACACAACGTCGAAGTGACCGACTGAAAGGGAACGTCTCGGTTACATATGGTAACCTTTGTTCGTTTTTCTGGCATTGCTGATCTCTTCATCATTTTCTGTTAGCCCATCAGATAAAATTGGGTAAAATGAGAAAAATATTCTAAAATGACTTTTAATATCTTAGCTATTTCAGGTGAAAGCTGAATGGGGCTCTCTGCCTGTCATAATAATACATCATAATGTGTGAGTAATTTTTATAACTGAGCAATTTATATGACTGCAACATATGCAAATGAAAACTCTGAAAGTATCCTATTAAATGTAGAAATGTGTGTAACACTATAAAAATATTTAATATTTTAAAATGTTAAATGAAATGTTAAAATAGCTCTTATAATCTCATTCAAGTATTATGAAAAATAAGTGCAATTACGTAAGGAATAATTAACCGTAGTATATGTGGAATAATTGATTCCGGGCCGTTGGATTATTAGAAAAATAATGCACACCCGAGGTGGTGATGCGGCCATGATGCGAAGCGGAGTTACACCTCGATGAATGAATTATTTTCATTATTTCCCTGAAAATAACTGCACACCTTAGAACGTTCGTCAGCCAATCAGATTCAAGCATTCAACGGCCCCGTAATATAAATAAAAATAACATGAATGTTATAGGATCTACATCATATTTGGAGAACAGCTGAAAATTAGATTAAGCACAACCATCTTTGACTGCAAATCTTGGCATGAACTTAATAGAAATCATATGCATTTCATTGTCACTGGATACATGGCCACATATGGTATTAAGTGATGAAGTCATGGAGACGTAGACTGAGTTGCTATATCTTTCTCTGTTGTGGTCTGGCAGTAAGTTCCCTAATTAAACACCAGGAACAGATAGAGGAGGAGAAAGACAGAAAGAAAGACAGACAGAGAGATATAAAATCAGACCCAGATCGCCCAAAGCTCAATATTTGCACACCTGACATGTAGTGTTACATCATGTCTACACTGCAGGCCAGTGACATGACCCAACGAGAACGCTCATGTTATAATCAATAAAGCTTGATTAAAGTGCTCTAGTTTTTGTCACGTCTCGTCACCCACTCTCAGTATAGACATTGTGTTTGTCTGCACGGGTTTCAACTGACCTGTATATGAAGACTGTGACCGTTACGATGATGAAAAAAAAAATTACCAACCTCAAATGTTTGAACACCAGTGTATATTTTGATTTGAATCATTTTTTATCTTAGTGCTGAACTAACTACTAAAATAAAACTGGCAATTTATTAAGAAATATTGTAAGTATTGTAATAGTATACAGTATTAGATTTGATGAATTCTGTGATGTTTTGTGCTGTTAGTTGGTTGGTTTCCTTCTTCCATCTTTAATAAAATGACATAATTTGGTATAGTTGGATAATTTACTATGAAATTTACTTCAAGCAATGGTTTACTTTGGCTCTTAATTTCTCTCCTGTTAATTTTCTTAACATTGTATAAATAATCAAGCTCTAATTAACTAAGCTGATGCGCCTGAGCTTTAACAGAGCATATTTCAGTCTGCCTGCTGTACAGAAAGACCTGTAAACACAAGCATGTTCATTAAAAATGCTGTTAAAATTAAGCTGCAGTTAAAAATGGTGCTGCACAACAGGAATAACCCATTTTAGATATGTCTTTTCTTACTCTTGCTCCTCAGTGGGCTCTTTGAGGATCATTTTCAGGTGACGAGTGTTTCACACGCTCTCACAATACTGATCAACTGTTGTGTGCTATTTTTTGGATCTGTTATTAACCTAAATTTAATTAAGCAACATTACAGAACTACATTAAAACAACATGAAACATGCCTCGATTTAATTATCACGTTAATCATTAACTCCAAGTGTTTTATCCTGCTTACACATACACATTTTTGCATCTATTAACTCATCACTACAATCTTCATTTCAGAAGGTACTGATTCTACTTTGAAATATTACAGTACACTCACTTATAATGAGAAACATTATTCAACACTTTATACTTCTATATATGATGCATGCAAATGTATACTTAATGTATTCTGAAAAATACTCATAAGTGAAGAATAATGTGCAGTCAGCCAGTCATTGTCACAAAATATATCTCAACAGTATTAAAATAAACGAATGAAATGGTTGACTATATAATGCCTTGCTTATTGCATGGCTACTTATAAATGCAAGGACATGAAATATTGATTTGAGTCTAATTTATTGGGAACATGACATTTGGGAACATGATTTTGGCTCATATGACCCCTTTAAGTGCATTCACAGGATTATTTAAAGGCTTCTGTTTGCTAGCAATGCACGCTACTTTCATGCATCTGATTATCAGATAAACCTCGCGCTCTTATTTCAAGGTTGTTGTTTCAAGGTTCCTTCGTACATTCGGTTCAATGACATTGTTAAAACACTTTTATCATTCAATGCAGGGCAGGACTGGGGTTAAAATTTGGCCCTGGACAAATCCAGCCCATCTGGCCCACGAGTTCCCCCATGAATGTTTTGCTGGGTTATAGGGCTGTTAATTAACAGTAAATAACAATAGATATTACTGAATTCATAGCAAATGCAACAAACTTAATGCATTTTTGTCACTTGACAGTAAAGTGATTTAAAGTGAAGACACTTGATTTTGAGCTACATGTAGAATGCAGGAAATTTATTGCTAATAAATCCTGACATCATTTCCTCACCCTCATGTCATTCCAAACCTGTATGACTTAGTTTCTTCTGTAGAACACAAAAGATATTTTGTAGAACGTTACCAAACCATTTTGGTTACCCTTGATTTATACTGTATGGACAAATATTTCTTGAATTTCTGAAATTATCTTCTTTTATGTTCCACAGAAGAAAGAAATTCATACAGGTTTGGAATGACACGATGTTGAGTAAATGACATGAGTATAATGGTGTCTTTTCATACAGGTCTATTATTACATGAGTTATATAGGGCTGCACTCACTTGCCAGGCAGGCAGGGTTGTCGTTTTTGAAGCCACACAGTGGGATATCTGGAGGCGGACTTCCCTTCAGCCAGTACACCTTCATCCCTGGCTCCGGAATCATCCGCTTCTGACTGCCATTATACACGGACACAATCTAGGACATACAGCCATCATTTCAGCAGCGGTGAGATGGGTTTAGCCAGTAATGTATTTTAAATGTGAAGAGGTATATGATCAGATGAAGGCCTCTGTACCTGATAAACTCCAGTATCTGTGTCGGTCATGTCCCATAGAGCAAAGTCAATCTCCCGATCGCCATTCTCATCCAGCTGAACGAGTCCAGTAACCCCTTTCAAGATTAGAAAACAAACATTAGATCAGAGGTTCATATAAAAGCTGGTGTGTCAGGCTGTGCAATGCATTTTGAGCCGTTTAGGAGAAAACGCATTGTTTACATGCTGAATGTAAACAATGCTGATTATGTTGATTACATTCTGGGGAAAGCTCGCACATATGCTACTCACTAAAATGGCAGAACTCAGGGAGAAGAACTGTGGAATAAATTATGTTATTTTAGTTTACTTTGCACACAAAAACTATTCTCGTAGCTTCGCAAAATTGAAGTTGAGCCACTGAGGTCTTGCTACGTTTCTGGGAACATGCAGGGCCTATGCAGGGTCAGAGAGCTCTCAGATTTCATCAACCGAAGATGAACGAAGATCATCCTAATGGTTTTTAATTTACGAGTCTTACGGTTTTGGAACGACATGAGGGTGAGTAATTAATGACAGAATTTTAATTTTGAGTGAGTGAAGTGACATGTGGCCAAGTATGGTGACCCATACTAGGAATTAGTGCTCTGCATTTAACCCATCCAAAGTGCACACACACACAGCAGTGAACACACACACACCGTGAACACACACCCGGAGCAGTGGGCAGCCATTTTTGCTGCGGCGCCCGGGGAGCAGTTGGGGGTTCGGTGCCTTGCTCAAGGGCACCTCAGTCGTGGTATTGAAGGTGGGAGAGAACGCTGTACATTCACTCCCCCCACCTACAATCCCTGCCGGTACGAGACTCGAACCCGCTACCTTTGGGTTACGAGTCCGACTCTCTAACCATTAGGCCACGACTTCCCCCACACATTTTGGGGTGAACTATCCCTTTAAGTACATCTATATATTACATTTCATAATTACTTCTTTGGTCTTTAAAATATGGTTAAAATATAAAAGCATTTATGGTAAACTAAAATATACTGTAAAGTCACTTCAATTGAAACTTCCATGTCATGTATTTAAATAAATTTGTAATTACACATTTGTAATAATGAAATTACAAATTAGTACATTTGAAATATATTAACTTTAAATGAAATATCAAATAACACACTACAATTAAAATCAAATATTTTACATGTGCTTTAGTATGTTAGTCAACACATCGAAATAAGTGTACTTCTTTAAAGCACGACAAAAGATTATTAAAATATAATGTGTACAAAGTACACCTTTTAAGTGTGTAAAGAAACATAGGGCCAGATTTACCAAACAGGGCAAAATTCCAAAACAGCGCTGATGGGCGTAGAAATTTCTGCGTGTGATTAACTGACAATGCGCAAATTAAAGAACACAGACGCACCATCTCATTTGCATATCGTCCAACCCAATATACTAAATGCAGTGCAAATTAGCGTAATCGCAAATAAGCAGAGCCGATGCTCATCAGGTGTGGTTAATCAACTTACGACACAGACGCAAATTAGTTTAAGACATGCTTTTTTGTGGCATTAAATAATGGCGAAAATACTAGTAATTTGACGAGCGCAAACGTTAGTAAATTGTGTTGCGTGATTCATTTTAATTCTCTCCTCCCATAGATTTTGCGTCTGAAAGGGAAACTCCTAGAAATTAATATTCAATAAGGTCAGGAGCAAAAATAACTGTCTCCACACCTTTTCAGCGCTAATTCTTCACTGCGTGTCTTTAGTAAATCCTATCTTAACCAAAAAGACGGTTTGCGCTGGCACATAGTCATGAAAGAGTACTCCACATACACTTAAGTGGCCTTTTATTTCATTAATATTATATTATTGTTTTTTGTATTGCATGTATTTTTTTTAATATAATTTAAAGCGTACAATCAATGCAATTAAGCACACCACATTTTCACAAGTGTTGTATTGAGCATTTGGTCTAATTTGCACTGGCACATCATTAATCATTCATCATGTAGCAGTTTAAATATAATTGATGGATGAACACAAGGCTAACGCAGTCAGCAGCAGATGCACAGCACCTCTAGGAAAAAAAGTCTTGGCCAAACCACACAGGGGAAACGAGGCTAAAAGATAATCACACCTCATTTATCCAGTAGATTTTCCCATCATTGATGCAGTAAGCACTGAGCAAGCACACTACGCTTCTTGCCAGCAATGTGACTCTTTCCCAGCACTCAGCATTAATGCCCACAACCTGACTGCAGTTTTCTGATTCCTGGCACTGAGCCTAGAACACCTGAGTTCTGCTAACCCATGCAGAGACATTCAATAGGCTGTGATTTAACAAGCCATGGCCAGTTTCTCATAGCTTTTCCACAGTACCAAAAAACAAAACAAAAAAAACAAAACAACAACTATCAAATGGCTTAAACCATTTATGGTAGTGTTCTAACTTTTTTTTAACTTGTTTTAGAGCATTAGATTATAAAAGCTTATTTCCACCACGAAATAAAAATATGAAAAAAGGTAACTGTGCTTTTTATCTCACAATTTTTTTTTCAGTTTGTTTCTCAGAATTGCGAGTTTACATCTCAAAATTGCGAGGTTCCATCTCACAATTAATATAACTATTTTTCTCAAATTTTTAGACACCTGACCAGACTGCATGCACATGCAGAGAAAAAAAGTCGGAATTGTGAGATGCAATCTCAGAATTCTGTGAAAAAAAAAAAAAATCTGAATTGCAGGATGTAAACTGACGGAAAAAGTCAGAAGTTGGAATTGTAAACTGAGAATTCAGAGAAAAATTCAAAATTGTGATATGTAAACAAAGAATTCTGAGTAAGAAAGTCAGAATTGCGAGATGTAAACTCAGAATTCTGAAGAAAAAAAATCAGTATTGTGAGATTTTAGTCACATATCAGAAAATGGCAGCTTTATTAATTAGATCTAGAGGTCTTTTCGGGTGGAATGTTTTTCTCCTCAGAAATGCAAATTCGAAGTGCGTGTGTGTGAGTTTAAAATAAACTGAATGTTCTTTGATGTGTTTGGTCCATCTGCTGTGGTCTACCACCTCAACCTCTTCCCAACAGCCCCTGTGATTATGAACACAGATCTGCTGTCCTGCACCGTATCCGACACTCAGACATTCTGTGCCACCACAGCACGCTGATTCAATAAAATCGCTAAATCTAGCACGAGCCATGCAAAACTCACCACCACAATGCGAGGGGTTTCTGTGGTTGCCAGGATGGTGTTATGTGATTTATAGCTCTAGGTTAGTTGTTTTCAACTAGAACACCTCAGCAATCTTGCAAGATGGTCGCAAGATGACTTAAAATCATTTTCAAATTGTATTAAAATAATCTAAGTCGATCAAAAAATTTAAAATAAGATATGTACACCAACAACATGGGACGATATTTCTCAGTATGCTGAAAATAGACTGAAAATGAGCTCTCACTTGGACAGTTTTCATTTTCACTGCAATGTAGAGATCTGTACAGACTGATTTTGCTCTACTGCAAGTTTCATTCTTCATGCACTACTTTCAGATTTCAATTTTTATATTTCAGAGTAGGTGTCCCTGCATATAATTAATCTGTTCTAATGCATGCATTTGAAGTACTAAACCACTCAAACATTAAAATTGTTATTTACTGACCCTCATGTTGTAGGCTGTCAAGATTCACAGAACAAAAATGCTTCATTAAAGGGAAATTCTCCCATAATTCAAATTAAATGTGACCTATGGTGCAGGTTTGGCATCATTATGTTACAAAACACTCAAGAACCTATGGCATTTGAGGTTTCTGATGATGCCTAGTAAGCACTGAAGCTGATTAGGAAGAAAGACCCACGTTAACAGTATTTTAAAAATACAGCATTTTTGGAACAACATGAGAATGAGTAAATAAATACTACATTTCATTTTTTGGATGAACTATTGTTTTAACAGGTACAGAGGCACGTTAAAAATAACTGAATTTGTTGTGGAACTTGGCTGATTCACAACAGTCTGATTCTAGTTATAAGAGTCTTTAGAGAGTTGCTATTCCTGAAATCCTTTACCCCATGTCATGTTCCCCTTGTATACTTTCTAATTTCCATGTCAAAATGGTGTGAGGGGATTTGAATGCGTAACGACTACATGTATTTTGTCAAGCTGCAGACTCTTTCAACCCTTGAAGTTATGTGTCATGAGTCCGGTGAGTATCGCTTTCAGTGTCAGCGGGATGGAGAATGATTTTTACTGCCTCAGCGTGTTGATACTGATCAATACTGCTCACCGTGGGAAGCGAGACAGAGACAGACTGCAATGGCGATGAGCAAGACATGTTAATGGAGTAGAAATAATAACATAGTGACGCGGAAAACACAATAAAGACAGAATCGGCCAAGACTGCGATAAGAAATCAATGCTGAATAAAGAGACTCAAAGACAGTGTTGTGTCTAGAGAGACTCTATTAAAACAGATGTCATGAATGCACATCTCTCTCAGCAGTAATGGTGATTTGGGCTCCCATGGTCCCAGCGGAGAGCCAGGTTCAGCTAGCAGCATAGAGTTTCATCCCTGTTACGGCACTGTACGGTTTCCATTTGAGCCTCACTAATAGGCCGCCAATATAAAGTGTGTGTGTGCATGTGTGTATGTGTGTTAAGTGGGGGTACGTGCATGTGTGCATGCTCCGGAGTGTTTGTCTCTCAGATCGAGGATATAGTTCCCTCCCTCCTCAATATCTGAGCCGGAGTGTACCTGTTTTTGCAGCATCAAATTGAATGAATAAGGAAAGTGGTTACTGGAGCCTGCAATAGTGTGTACTCTTCGAAACAGCCCCTTTAGTTAGATTGAATTCAGAGTAAAACATCTTTTTATGAGGTTGCATCTATGTAATTAGACATCAGCGTTAGCGATAATTTGACAGACCCCCTCTTGCATGAAGCGACAGGAGAAAAAAGCAACGCTGCCGTGACTGGCATGGCTTTCTTCCTTTAATTTAAGCACTAATTAGCTTGGTATTTACAAATAACAGCAGTGAAGTAAGAGGGAAATGACATGCAGGACTTGTTGTTTCTAAAAAACAAGGAGCTTACTTTCAGAAAAACTTGTATACATTTAGAATGCAAT